TGCATGGTTGATATGGGGGAGTTTAGGTAGAGGAGGGGCCAGTGGTTGAGAGGGTAGAAAATTTGAGAGTCCTGTGAGTGATGGACCTGGGCTGGCTGATACACAGGGTGGTGGTAGGAACAGCAGGGCAGATTCTGACTCCCTGTTATCTCTATGCTCCTGTGGATTTGGGTAGTGGGTCTGTTTGTGTGGGAGGGTCTGACTTGGGGGCCTGTCAATACTCATCTAGTTAAAATCATGTCCAGTGCCATAGCTGCACCTGAGCACTGGAAGATGGCAAGAGAAATACACATGTCCACCTTACCTCATCTCACTTGGTGCCCCCACACTCTGCAACAGCCACTAAAATTTCCCCAGTTTATTTTACTTCTTAGAATTGTCTCTTACTACCTATTCTCTCTTAAGAGCATTCCAAACCCTTTTCCAACCCTTAGCGGACTGCTTTATCCCTTATTCTACTGAAAAGGTAAAAGCAACCAAAGAACTGCTACACCACATCTTTCCATCACCAAATCTGTTATTTCCATCTAAACCAACTTTTCCACTTCTTCACGTATTCACTAGAGGCCAGGGATTTAGCTCAGTGGTTCCGCTGCCTGCCTCACAAGTGCAAAGTCCTGAGTTCGATCCCTGGTACCAAACAAAACTAAATACATATTCACTAGATTCCATTCCTTCTTTACACAAAGATTTTGCTCTTCTGATGATCCCATCTTTTTCTTGTATCATCATCATCTCCTGAAGTGCTGGCTGCACCATTGCCATCAGTATACACACATCTATTGGGTTAAGCTCCCAGATTAATCTTCTGTGCTCCTCGTGGTCTTTTTTTTTTTTTTTTTTTTATACCAGGAATCAAATTCGCGTCTGTGCGCACTGAGCCAAATCCCTGGCCCTCATGGTCTTTCTGTGCTTCACTGCATAAGTGCCTCCTTAGTTTTTGTTCTTTTTAGTAAAAACCATTGGAAATTTGTCTATACCACTGTTTTCATTTCTTGTTCTTTTCCACTCAAGGTTTATTTCTGTCACTTCAATGGTACATCTCTTATTAAAACCAAATTGGTCCCTGATAATGTCATTCTCATTGCTACAAATTCACATTTTAAAAACAAGTGGTATGACAAAACTGACTATAAAAAGACACAACAACCATTGAATTAATCCGTGTACTTTGGTCATGCTGAATAAGAATACACATATTTTGTGCTAATGTATTGAGTGTGGGGGCATAGATTAATTTTCCAATTTTGGAAGATAATGAAAGCATATGCACGAAGTATATATGAGTGTAATGAGATATGCACAAAGAACTGCTATGGTTTGGATGTAGTTTAACCCACAAGGGTGCACGTGTTGGTCTTTGGTATGGTGTCTTTTAGGTAGTGGGACCTTTAAGAGGTGGGGCTTGGTAGAAAGTCTGTAGGTCAGTTAGGGAGGACTTGCTTTTACAAGGAATTGTGGGTGTTCATATGGTGTCCTTGAGTCCTCCTGGCTATAAAGGGGTTATAAAAATAGTATACTTGGCCCCACACAGCTGTCTGGCTTCCTGTTATGAGAGGTGATCTCTTTCTTTCACATGTGCTACTGCCATTGTGACAAGATCTGCCATGAGGTCCTCACCAGAGCCAAGTCAGTGCTGACACTTTGCCCTTAAATCTGTAGAACTGCGAGCTAAATACAAGCATTGTTTTTTATAAGGTTAGCCTGCTTCAGGTAGTTTGTTACAGTAACATAAAATATACTAGAACAGAAAATTGATACCAGGAGTAGAGATACTACCTAATGATTAATAACTTGGATATATGGAAATGGCTTTTGAATTTGGTAACAGGCAGAGGTTCATTTTGAGTAGGCTAGAAAATTCCTAGAATGCTATAAATGAAGAATTATGGGCAATTCTAGAGAAGTTTAGGACTAGGGAACTAATCTCAGATGGAAATGAGGAATTTTGGAGGGGTCCAATGCTGAGGATTGCTAGGCAGGTACTCTACCAGTGAGCTCCAACCCCAGCTCTTATTTATTTATTTGATTTTGAGACAAGTTCTTACTAAGCTGACACTGGCAGTCCTCCTTCAGCCTCCCAAAGCAGCTGAGATTACAGACATGTGCCTTCATGCCTGGCTGAAATGAGGATTTTTTGGGGGAGGGGGTTGAAAGGCCTGTTTTGCCATGGCAAAGAACTTGATTAGAACTCTAAGAGAAAATTTCAAGGGGATAATATAGGACATTTGGCAGAAACTTTGAATAGTGAAGTATTCCAGCATTGGTATTACCCACTTTTAGATTTACATTGAGACTTGGGAGCAAGGGGAAGCAGAGAAGAAAGATTTGAAATTTTGCATCCTGGCCAAGGAAGGAGCAGTGAAAAAGCCTGTAAGGGTGTGGCCATGAAGCCACTTGCTAAAGAATAAAAGGAAACCAGTCGCTTTGCATGGAGAACATTGGAAAAAGTTCTCAAGGGATTCCAGAACAGAACTGTTTCAGAAAAGAGCCCTTGTGTATGCTCCATGAGCTTGCTGCCCAGGGATCCCGTGGGATTTATTTCCCTGCCTTTAACCAAGGAAGCTGCTTGTGTGGTTCAGGCAGTCCACAGCTCATGCCCCAAATCTTGATGTTGATGTCATGCTGAGTTTCCAGGTATATGGCATACAAGAGTTATTGGATCATGGCAGCTTCTGCCAAAATTTCAAAGGAAAGCCTGGAAGACAAGGGAGAAGTTTGCCACAGTCACAGCCCCTGTAAAGAACCCTGCTGGGGCAATGCTTAGAGCCGTAAGAATTACGATGACCAATTAGATACAGTTAGGGAGAACTGCAGTCAGTGTGCATACCAGTAGCCTACAATCAGCACAGTCACAGGAATGGGGCTGCCAGAGGTCTTGGGGCCCACCCCTCACTGTGGTGTGCACAAGATTGCTGGACTTGGAACTTTAGTCTTTAATGTCTTCCTTACTGGGTTCCAACCTTGCTTTGGGTGGGTTGCCCCTTTCTTTTTGCCTATTTATTCCATTTAGAGATAGGCTGTTTATTCTGTCCCTGTCCTGCTATTGTACATTGGAAGAATGTATCTTGTTTGTTTGTTTTTAAAACGAGGGCTTATAGCTTATAGCTGGATGGTTTGCCTGGAGTCTTAGATGAGATTTTGAATTTACGCTTGAATGAATTAAGATCTTTGGGACTACTGGGGATGGAATGATTGTATTTTGCATTTCTGAGAAGGAGCCAGAAGTAGAACTGTACGATTTGTGCCAGGGATTTGGCTCAGTGGTTCTGCCACCTGCCTCCCAAGCGCAAGGGCCTGAGTTCGATCCCCAGTACCAAAACAACAACAAAAAGAACTGTATGATTTTTGTGCCTCCAGGGGTTCATTTATAGAAATTTATTTCCCATTGTGAGGTAATTGGGTAGAACTTAAACTGAGTATAGTACAGAGAGGTGGAATCTTTGGGAGGTGGTTAGGGTTAAAGTCATTGGGGTGGAGTCCCTATGGGTGAATATGGGGCCTTTGTATTAAGAGCGGGAGAGACCAGAGTATACACATGCTCCTTGTCTCTCACTGTGCTCCCCTGAACTGCCACCAAGATGCCATCAAAACATTCAGCCCTGTGTGTGACCTGAGACTAAAAGCTACATCAGCCAAAATTACCCTCTTTTCTTTCTAATTTAGCCAGTCTGTCGTATTGTGTTATTAGCAACTGCAAACAGGCCAAGAGAGGGACCCATCAACCATCCTAGGAGACTCTTAACGGTACCTTCAAAGTCCCCATTTCTCCCTCCTTGATGGTCTTTCCCTCCTTCCAGAGTAACCACTATCCTCAATTTTCTATGTATTATTATTTTGCTTTTCATTATAATTTTGACATGTAGAATATATAT